GACGATTTCATTTTGACGAGGAAGGAATTTAGAATGAGATTCAAAAGCGCTGATAGGAATAAAGACGGGCAGTTGACGGGATCAGAAATAAGAAATCTTTTTCCAATGAGAAGCACCCCTCCACCAAATATCTGTGGAGATTGGAATGTCGACTGCTCACAAGATGACGCCATGGCGTTATTTGATTCAGCAGCTACGGAAAACGGGTCGCAACTTTCTGTTGATGAATATATTCGACATTTCGGTCCCTTGGTTAAAATTTAAGATGGTATATATAGAATCCAATTGTGTTTGACCAAACATTATGAAATAAAATACTTTCATTGAATCTTCCAAATCATTTCCTTCAAACGTATTTTAAGCCATAGAAGAGTAAAGATTCGCACGGAAGCGTATTAAGGCCATTCAATTTTTTTTTTAATTTTCAAGTTAGTAACTTGAATTTTCAAGTTAGTATGTTGAATTTTCAAGTTAGTATCTTGAATTTAGTATGTTGAATTTTCAAGTTAGTATGGAATTTTCAAGTTAGTATGTTGAATTTTCAAGTTAGTATGTTGAATTTTCAAGTTAGTATGTTGAATTTTCAAGTTAGTATCTCGAATTTTCAAGTCAGTATCTTGAATTTAGTAACTTGAATTTTCAAGTTAGTATGTTGAATTTTCAAGTTAGTATGTTGAATTTTCAAGTTAGTATGTTGAATTTTCAAGTTAGTATCTCGAATTTTCAAGTCAGTATCTTGAATTTTCAAGTTAGTATCTTGAATTTAGTAACTTGAATTTTCAAGTTAGTATGTTGAATTTTCAAGTTAGTAACTTGAATTTTCAAGTTAGTATGTTGAATTTTCAAGTTAGTATCTCGAATTTTCAAGTCAGTATCTTGAATTTTCAAGTTAGTATCTTGAATTTAGTAACTTGAATTTTCAAGTTAGTATCTTGAATTTAGTAACTTGAATTTTCAAGTTTGTATGTTGAATTTTCAAGTTAGTAACTTGAATTTTCAAGTTAGTATGTTGAATTTTCAAGTTAGTATCTTGAATTTAGTAACTTGAATTTTCAAGTTAGTATGTTGAATTTTCAAGTTAGTATGTTGAATTTTCAAGTTAGTATGTTGAATTTTCAAGTTAGTATCTCGAATTTTCAAGTCAGTATCTTGAATTTTCAAGTTAGTATCTTGAATTTAGTAACTTGAATTTTCAAGTTTGTATGTTGAATTTTCAAGTTAGTAACTTGAATTTTCAAGTTAGTATCTCGAATTTTCAAGTTATTAACAAGATACTAACTTGAAAATTCAAAAAAAAAAAAAAAAAAAAAAAAAA